ACTGGTCTTTGCTAGGTGGGATAGTCCCTTCAGGGCCCCCTATAATGTTCAAGTCCTACACCTGGAACCTGTGAATATGGCAAAGGAGAATTAAAGGAGCAAATAGAATTAAGGGTGCAAATCAGCTGACCTTGAGATGGAAAGATTAATCATGGTCTATTGATGTGGGCTGGATGCAGTCACAAGGGTCCTTATAAATGGAAGAGGGAGGCAGAAGAAGGAGAGCTACAAGAGATATCAACTTGAGAAGGACTGGGCCTGATGTTGCTGGTTTTGAAGAGGAGGAATGGAGCTATGAGCCAAGAAATTGAGGGTGGCTTCTAGAAGCTGCAGAGAACAAGGAAATGCTAGTAGAGCCCTAGAAGGAATACAGTCCTGCTAACACTGATTTCAGCCCAGTGAGACCCATTTTAGACTATTGAACTCCAGAACCGTAATAAAAACTGTGTTGCTTTAGGCCACTAAATTTGTGGTGACTCATTACAACAGCAATAGGCAACCAATGCACCATCCACTTAAGTTCTTAATTTCAACAATAATATATTTATTTTCTAAGAGTATTTTGGTCTTATTTCTAATTTTATTGGGCGTGTTTAATAGTCTCCTGTTCTCTGCTGATTTCACTGCTTCAAAAATTCATATATGGTTATTTTTACTTTTAATTAAACTTTTTATTTTGGGATAGTTGTAAATTCACCAGAGTGAAAAAGTTGGCTTAAAACTCAACATTCAGAAAACTAACATCATGGCATCCGGTTCCATCTCTTCATGGCAAATAGATGGGGAAACTGAGAGACTTTATTTTGGGGGGGCTCCAAAATCACTGCAGATGGTGACTGTAGCCATGAAATTAATAGACACTTGCTCCTTGGAAGAAAATCTATGACCAATCCGGACAGCGTATTAAAAAGCATAGACATTACTTTGCCAACAAAGGTCCGTCTAGTCAAGTGAAAGTGAAGTCACTCAGTCATGTCCGACTCTTTGCGACCCCATGGACTGTAGCCTGCCAGGTTCCTCCATCCATGGAATTTTCCAGGCAAGAATACTGGAGTGGGTTGCCATTTCCTTCTCCAGATCTTCCTGACCCAGGGATTGAATCTGGGTCTCCCGCATGGTAGGCAGACACTTTACCGTCGGAGCCACCAGTTAAGTCCTAGTCAAAGCTATGGTTTTTCCAGTAGTCATGTATGGATGTGAGGGTTGGACCATAAAGAAAGCTGAGTGCTGAAGAATTGATGCTTCTGAACTGTGGTCTTGGAGAAGACTCTTGAGAGTCCCTTGGACTGCAAGGAGATCAAACCAGTCAATCCTAAAGGAAATCAGTCCTGAATATTCATTGGAAGGAGTGATGCTGAAGCTGAAGCTCCAACACTTTGACCACCTGATGCGAAGAACTGACTCACTGGAAAAGACCCTGATGCTGGGAAAGATTGAAGGCAAGCAAAGGGGATGACAGAGGATGAGATGATTGGATGGCATCACCGAGTTGATGGACATGAGTTTGAGCAAGCTCCGGGAGTTGGATCTTTATTATGTTGAGCCTTCCAAACTATGAACATAGTATACCTCTCCATTTATTTAGATCTTTGATATCTCTCATCAGTGTTTTGTTGTTTTCAGTATAAATCTTAACACATTTGGTTAAATTTGCACTTAAGTATTTCCCTTAAAAAATTATATACATTGTTGTTAAGAATGTAAAATTGACAGGGAGGCCTGGCGTGCTGCAGTCCATGGGGTTGCAGAGTCAGACACGACTAAGCAACTGAACTGAACTGTAAATTCACATGCAACTGTAAAGAGATAATGCAGAGACCCTTACACCTTTAACCCAATTTCCCTTCATGGTAACATCTTGCAGACCCTGAATGATACAGTCAAGATAGAGAACATTTCCACCACGGCAGTGAGTCCCCACGTTGCCATTACACCACACCATCCCCTCTTTAACCCCTGACAACCGCTAATCTGTTCCCCATTTCTGTACTATGTCATTTTAAGAATGTTACATAAATGGAAGCACACAGTATGTATTGAAATTTTGTTCGGGGACTGGTTTTGTTCACTCAGCCTAAGTCTCTGGAGCTTCACCTAGGGCATCACATGTATCAATGGTCCTCTTTATTACTGAGTACTATTTCATGGTATTACCACAAAGATACCACAACTTAATCATTCACATGTAGAAAGACATTTGGATTATTTCCAGTCTTTAGCTGTTATGAATAAAATTGCTATAGACATTAATCTACAGGTTTATATGTGAACATAACTTTTCATTTCCCTGGGATAAATGCCCAGGAGTGCAACTGTTGGGTCATATGATAGTTGCATGTTTAGTTTACTAAGAAACTGCTAAACTGTTTTCCACAGTGGCTGGACCATTTTGCAGTCCCACCAGCAATGTGTAAGTCATCTAGTTTCGTAACATCCTCATAGCATTGACTCTGTCATGTTTTCTTTTAGCCATTCTACATGTGTGTAGAGTTTAATGATCTATCATTATGGTTTTAATTTGCTAATGATGGTATACATGTTTTCGTGTGCTTATTTGCCATCTATGTCTCCTCTTGCGTGAAATGTCTCATGTCTCATTCATTTATTAGTTGAATTATTTGCTGTTTTTATTGTTGAGTTTCAAAAGTTCTTTATATATTGTAGATACTAACCCTTTGTTATATATGGAGTTTGCAAATATTTTTCTCTCACTTCAAGCTTGTATTTTCATTCTCTTAATAGGATCTTTCACTGAGCAAACATTTTAAATTTCGATGTACACTAGTTTTATTCATTTTTCCTTGTATGGATCATGCTTTTGGTATTCAGTCTAAGAACTCTGTTTACAAATTCCTAGATGTCAAAGAAAATTTCCCCCCAAAAGTTTATAGTTTTATGTCAGGCATTTCAGTTAATTTTTGAATGAGACTTGTTAACTTTATTGTAGTTATTATCTTCGCTTATTATTATAGTTTTATGTCAGGCATTTCAGTTAATTTTTGAATGAGACTTGTTAACTTTATTGTAATTATTATCTTCGCTTATTATTATAGTTTTATGTCAGGCATTTCAGTTAATTTTTGAATGAGACTTGTTAACTTTATTGTAATTATTATCTTTGCTTATTATTTTTGCTCCAGCATCATTGTTGGTGGTGGTGGTGGATTAGTCACTAAGTCGTGTCCAACTCCTGTGACTCCGTGGAGCCTCCTCTGTCCATGGAATTCTCCAGGCAGGAATACCGGAGTGGGTTGCCATTTCCTTCTCCAAGCGAGAAGGGCTTCTTTGTTGATGGACAAAGGTATCTTTGTTGAAGGGCTTAATTGTTGAAGGGCTATCTTTCGTCCGCTAAATTACTTGTGCACCTTGAATGTGTATATTTCTGGATTCTCCATTCTGTTTCATTGATCTGTATGTTCATCCCTCTGCCAGTACCATACAATCTTAAAATTGGGTCACTTGAGTCCTCCCATTTTATTCTGCTTTTTCAATGTTGCTTCACGTATTCTGATTCCTTTGCCTTTCCATATAAATTTTAGAAGAAAAATCTTGAAGGGATTTTGATAGAAATTGTAGTAAACCTACCTTGGAGAAAACTGAGATCTTTATTATATTGAGCCTTCCAAACTATGAACATATCTTTCATCAGTGTTTTGTAGTGTTCAGTATACATGTCTTAAAACATTTGATTAAATTTTCACTTAAGTATTTTCTTTAAAAAACTATATACAAAAAAAAATTATATACATTGTTGGTAAGAATGTAAAATTGTTCAGCCAGTGTGAGAAACAGGTTGGTCATTCCTCAAAAACTTAAACCTAGAATTACCATATGATCCCATCAATTCTATTCCTAGGTACTTAAAAATATATATGTATGCACATGTTCATAGCAGCATTATTCACAATAGTCAAAAGGTGAAAACAGTCCAAATGTTCATCAATGGATGGATGAACAAGTTGTTGTAAACATATAGAAGAGTATTATATGCTTTTAATCCACTCCACCAATTTTTAATTGGTGTCTTGAGATAATTTCATTGAATATACTTATTGATATGTTAGGGTATAAATGTGCCATTTTATTATTTGTTTTCTGTTCTTTCATTTCCCAGTTCTGTTCTGTTTTCTGTTCTTTCATTTCCCATTTTCTTTTTCCTGTCTTCCAGTGGGTTACCTGAACATCTTTTAGAATTGTTTTTTTTTTTCTGTGTTGTTTTTAAGTGTAGCTCTTTGTATACTTTTTAAGTAGGTAAGATGAAAGTGAAAGTGAAGTCGCTCAGTCCCATCTGACTCTTTGTGATCCCATGGACTGTAGCCTACCAGGTACCACCGTCCATGGGATTTTCCAGGCAAGAATACTGGAGTATGTTGCCATTTCCTTCTCCAGGAGATCTTCCCAACCAGGGATTGAACCCAGTCTCCTGCATTGTAGGCAGACACTTTACCGTCAGAGCCACCAGGGAAGTCCCATAGGTAACATCCTCCTATTTAATACATATTATACATACCTAATTTTTTAGTCTACTGGTGTCATTTTACCTGTTCCAATGAAGTATAAAAACTTACTTCACTTTACTTTTCACCTTTTATAGTTGTTAATAACATTACCTCTACATATGTTACACTTTCCATTACTGTCTAGCCTTTCAGCTCATTTTATCTTTCTAGTTGTTTTCAAGGTAGTACTGGCAAATGTCATATGTAAGGAATTTCCATCAGTGATTTTGGCCCTCTCAAAATACAACCAGCTCCTAGTGATACTATCACCAACACAGTCTTTGAAAAGCATTTCTGGGCTTGAAAGAAAATAAGGAAAATCTTCAATTTGTTCTCCACTCTGGGAGATAGTGAAGCCTCACTACAGATTTGCAGCTGTAGCTGAAAAGTTCTTTGGGCCTTCTTCCCAAGAGTAAAAACCAAAGCTAATAACCTATTTCATTCTAATAACCTATTTTGAAGGTCCAGCTCACTGGATTCCACAGAGACATGAGAGATTGCTTGATAACCAGTGTTGTTTTATTCATGACTCTCTTGCATTTATTCAGTAAATAAATTTAAGAAGGTGACCATTTTTTAATAAGCCAAGAAATCAAATTTTAGCTTCCAAGAAATACTTTTCCCTCATGATCTTAATGCTTCTACTTTAAAATCCTGTTCCAAAGATGGCTCAGTACAAACTTACTCCTTCAATAAGAACAATAATGATTACTAATACTTGTTATATGCCAGGCTGTGTTCCAAGCTTATACATATACCCCTCAAAATGATCCTAAGACACAGATATTTGGGCTCTCCTCAGTCTGCAGGCAAGGAAGCTGAGGAAGTTGAGTAAATAACCCAAAGTTTCCCAGGCAGAAAGTGGTGACAGCCTTTCCCAGCCTTTCTACCTGACAGCCTATCCCTAATATACTGGTTCCAGAGTCTGTGCAATAATCCTTTAGTATACACTAGATATGGCCAAGACCAGACCCAGTATGTGTGATGATGTGAGTCTTTCTCATAAAATGAAATGTAGTATTTTCACAGAGAATACAGGTTAAACCACAAATACATTTATTCCTCTAAGAACATTATGCCATCTTTTAAATTTTAAAATAATTTTAAAAATTTTAAGTAGTTTTAAAATAATTTAAAAATTTTATAATCAATTGTCTCTTCAGTTTGCTTGCTCTTATTAAACTGATTTTAAAAAATCCCAGAGCTGAGCAATTTACCAGCACCATCATTAAGTTGCAAATTTATCTTCAGTCACAGAGCAAAAATACACTTCAGATAAACTCAGTAAAATAACTTTAAGGGTTCACAGGAGTACTCACACCTAACTGTCATGCATTCCAACACCTCTCACAACCCCCCTTTCAATTGTCTAACTCCTGCCTTGGTCTTTTTACAGTCTGAAAACAAGGAATCACCCAAGTGAGATAACCCTCCAGAACACTGTTGAACCATATTAAACAGAGATACATCCCAGATCCCTGTTCTATATGTTAAAAAGGTATTAGCATATAGAGAAAATATATGTAGCTATATTCCATTAAGTTCTAATGAGTCTTTGCTTCCCCCTTTTTGATAATGTCTTCAATTTCTTCTGAGACCTTTCCTTTGTAGTCATTTGGTTCTATTGCATTTAACTTCTTTTGGTACTCCAGTGGCAAACCGTTCTCTTTTGCACCCATGCAAATGACCTAGAAAATGGTTAAACAACAACAACAAAACCCTCTTTTAGTTAGGAACATAATTTAGTTTAGTATACCACAGCTTTATTTGTAGTATCAAATAAATTAGCTTTCAGATAACTCTAGAAAAAACAACTGTAGAACAAAATAGAGATTTCATTCCTCCCGGGATGAGTATGAATGTACAGGGAGTTTTCATAGCCACACAATCCATCCCTATGTGATAGCAACTGTACTCAATACTGTGGTTTAAAATATTTTTAATATAAAACTTACTTGAATGTTTATTCAGTAAATAACTATCATTTTTGTATTAAAAACATTTTGATTGAAATGAATTGTTCATATAGAATTTAAAACACAAAGCCTTTTAAAAACAAGATATTCTGTCATTTAATCGTGAAAATTAACAAGGAATCACCAAAAGTCTTTGTAAGTTACAAAGGATACCTTTTTATACTGGGGTGATGGGGGAACAGGCTCATAATTTGTCATCTGGTAACTTCGACAGGTTATTTCTTTTCCTTCTTGAGTTGAAACAGTAACTTCTATTGGGACATACATTCCACTTTTAACCCCTTCTTGCCTGGAATCAGAACAGCCACATTTTAATCATATGTTGACTCAGCCAAGTTAGTTTACTGGATTAAAAATTTTAACTATTTATGGATGTATGTGTTCTCTATGTATTTGGGGATAGACTAGAACATACTACAAAACCACCACATCAAAAGTAAGCTTAGCATTTCAATTAGAAAGCTGGAGACTTACTATTACTGGGTATACTTCTAACAGATCTTTATATTAGTTATTGTAAGCTTTATAACCCTGAAACATTGCTCTTTATCTATGAAAACTGGACTGTGTTCTGACAAGAGAATATCCATCCTGCAAAAGTAGACAGGACAGCTCATTACTGTTTGCAAGTGAAGTAAAGTGGTAAGCATGTCAGATGTTTGCTCTTCTCAAATCCTGCTCTTTTCTGTCAACTTTCTTTGTATTAAATGCTCTGCCACACAACTCTTGAGTTCTAAAAAGCATCAAAGCATTTCTAATATGTTTTGAAGTTTTACAAATTATTATCACTTTTTTACTGATTCAACTGCTACCTTAAAGAATTATTTTTAAAAAAATCTGACTCTTATAAAAACTGAGTTGTTTTTGAAATCAGTAAAAGTATGTAATAACTACAAAAATCTTCATGCTTTCTCACAATATGAAACTACAAAGATATTTTTATTAAAAAAACAAATAGAAAATAAGGACTTCCATCAATTATAGAAGAGATAACAAAAGTCTCCCCAAATCTTAAGAGTGTGTAACCCTTCCAGGCTTTTCTTTTTAGGAAATGAACATTATACCTTTTAGGTTAACTCTCAAGTGTAAAGAATATGTCCATATATATACACACACACATTATTGCATATGATCCACCTTCTAGATTAGTAATGATTTAACTTATAATTAGAAGCCACCTACTTATCCAGAGAACTTAAATTGCTTTTGTTCATTTTCCATACTACTCCCCATACTTCATCGCCAGGACTTTCAAAAATGGTGGCTATACCTCCATGCCAAGTTTCACTTGTTTTGCCTTGGGGATTGCCAAAGTCAAGTTTAAAATCCTACAAAGGAAACCAAAGTGATATGATCAATATCCACATGAACCAAAATTTCCCTTCTCAAAATAAAAACAGATTTACCTTCAACACCATGTAATTAAAACGTATGTTTTGAGTTCCTTCTATAAAAAACACAAAGATAAACAACCAAGGACCCAGATTTCAAGGACTACATTTTTCTTAAAAATAAACTGTATACTGAATATGTACATGTATCTTACCATAAATAAGAGGTTAAGAGGGACAATAAATCCCATAATCCTGATGCCTTAACACAGCTATCTTTATTTTTGAAAACTGCTTCCCAATCAATCCACTTACTTACACATACATTTTAACTTAGAGGCAATCAGAGTGTGGGCTTCCCTGGTGGCTCAGTGGTAAAGAATCTGCCTGCAATGCAGGAGACGAGGGTTTGATCCCTGGGTCTCGGGAAGATCCCCTGGAAAAGGAAATGGCAACCCACTCCCGTATTCTTGCCTGGGAAATCCCATGGACAGAGGAGTCTGGTGGTTGCAAAAGAATTAGACACAACTCAGCAACTAAACAACAATAATCATACTGTACATAATTGTTGAAGCTGGGTGATGGCTGCCTAAGGTTTATAACATTTCTACTTTCATATATGTTAAGAGTATCCTATTAGCATTTTTTTTTGCCCTAAGGGAGCTGTCATTTGAGGGTGATTTGTATACTTATAAATTTTAATATTCATGATTATATTAACATATCTATAATAATCATAAGAGCAGCTAACAATTACTGGGTTCTGTACACTGCTATGGGCTTCATATGGACTTTTCAAAATCCTGTCAACAACTTTTTATACACATTTAACAGAAAGAAAAACAGTGGCTCAAAAAGATTAAGCAACTTGCCTAAGTTCTCACAACTAAAGTAACGAAGTCAAGGTTTCACGTTGTTAGTTTCTTCCCTCACAGAGATGAGTAATCAAAGGACAGAATGAGGGAGATTAAGAATCCTTACTCAGCTGTTTGGTCTAGGAAGATCTCTTTCCATTTTTTCAGAGTTTAATTTCCTAATGATAAAAAAAAAAGTTGGATTAGATAATAAATCTAAAGTTTATATTTTATCTCTGTTACCTTTATTTTCTTAAAAAACCTTTAGAATTTCATTAAAAAGGTTCATTTCAGTGACCAGTACCTTTGATTGGTATATTAGATGTTCTAGGACCAGGTATCCTTGGCAAGACATCAGGCGATCTGATAAAAGATACAACCACACTAGGACCTGTCTATACAAAAAAGATCTTCATGACACAGATAATCACGATGGTGTGATCACTGACCTAGAGCCAGACATCCTGGAATGTGAAGTCAAGTGGGTCTTAGGAAGCATCACTGTGAACAAAGCTAGTGGAGGTAATGAAATTCCAGTTGAGCTATTTCAAATCCTGAAAGATGATGCCGTGTAAGTGCTGCGTTCAATATGCCAGCAAATTTGGAAGACTCAGCAGTGGCCACAGAACTGGAAAAGGTCAGTTTTCATTCCAATCCCAAAGTAAGGCAATGCCAAAGAATGCTCAAACTATCGCACAATTGCATTCATCTCACACGCTAGTAAAGTAATGCTCAAAATTCTCCAAGCCAGGCTTCAGCAATATGTGAACCGTGAACTTCTAGATGTTTAAGCTGGCTCTAGAAAAAGCAGAGGAATCAGAGATCAAATTGCCAACATCCGCTGGATCATCAAAAAAGCAAGAGAGTTCCAGAAAAACATCTATTTCTGTTTTATTGACTATGCCAAAGCCTTTGACTGTGTGGATCACAATAAACTGTGGAAAATTCTGAAAGAGANAGATGTGAGAGTTGGACCATAAAGAAAGCCTAGTGCCCAAGAATTGATGTTTTTGAACTGTGGTGTTGGAGAAGACTCTTGAGAGTCCCTTGGACAGCAAGGAGATCCAACCAGTCCATCCTAATGGAAATCAGTCCTGAATATTCATTGGAAGGACTGATGTTGAAGCTGAAATTTCAATACTTTAGCCACCTGATGCAAAGAACTGACTCATTTGAAAAGACCCTGATGCTGGGAAAGATTAAAGGTGGGAGGAGAAGGTGACGACAGAGGATGAGATGGTTAGATGGTATCACTCACTCGATTGGGCATGAGTTTGAGTAAGCTCCGGAAGTTGGTGATGGACAGGGAGGCCTGGCATGCTGCAGTTCATGGGGTCGAAGAGTCGGACACGACTGCGTGACTGAACTGAAGTGATACACTGTTAAATCCCACAGACAATTTTCATTCCTCATCTTGCTCTACTTCTCAAATGTTTCTGACATAGTTATCCACACTGTCTTGATCTGCCTCCTCTCTTTTCAGCTGTTCCTTGATCTCAATTCCCTTTACCAACTCCTCCTCCACTACCTGGTTTTTAAATGATGGAGTTTCTAAAAGTCTCAGTTTAGGCCCTTTTCTCAGCAGTTTGCTCAAGACAAAATCATACCCGCCAATGGCTTCAAATACCATCCAATATTCCAACTGTCTTTTATCCAGCTCAGGTCTCTCTTTTGACTTTGAAAGTACTTAGAACACAGTAAGTACTTCATGTGCTGTGTTGTGCTTAGTCGCTCAGTCGTGTCCGACTCTTTGTGACCCCATGGATTGCAGCCCACTAGGCTCCTCTGTCCATGGGGATTCTCCAGGCAAGAATTCTAGAGTGGCTTGCCATGTCCTCCTCCAGGGGATCTTCCCAACCCAGGGATGGAACCCAGGTCTCCTGCACTGCAGAGGGATTCTTTACTGACTGAGCCACCAGGGAAGCCCAGGAATATTGGAGTGGGCAGCCTGATCTGTCTCAAGGGGACCTCCCCCACCCAGGAATCGAACCTCGGTCCCCTGCATTGCAGGCAATTCTTTACCAGCTGAGCTACCAGGGAAGCCCAAGTACTTCAGTAATGTTCACTAATATTTTTCTACTCACTTGGGTATACAACAAGCATCTCAAACTCAGTACAGCTGACCCTTGAACAACAATGGGTTTGAACTGCACAGGTCTACTTATCTGTGAATTTTTTTCAATTTTCAGATCATCAAAGTAACTAAGTATGGGGGAAAGTTTGTGTTTGATTAGAGACTGAAATAGACAATGTGTGTCAAAGGAACTAGGGTCCAAGTCCTGATTCTATCCAAACCTCTTCAGCTTCCTGCCCTTGGGTGAGTCATTTATCAATTCCTCTGTTTTTAAGGCAGAGGTGGCAGTTCTCTGATTTTCAGCTCAGCAAAGGGTGGGAACCACTAACCATGGCATTGTTCAAGGGCCAACTGTATGCCCAAACTGAGCTTGATGTTCCCTCCCAAACTAATCCTCTTTTTTTTTTTTTTTTTTTAACAAATATCACTATCATCCATTCTGTTGCATCAAAAACCATTATCTACTCTTCATTTCACAATCAATCACCAAAGCCTAACAGTGTTCTCTCCTCAACACCCCAAAAACCCATCTACCTGCCCTGGCTACCACTCCAAGGTACCATTAGCTTCAGTAGTGACCGCTACAAAAGCTTTCTAACTGTGCTCCCACATCCACTTCCAAAAGCCCTTTTGGTAGGCTGCCTCTACCTTCCAGAGCACTTTCCACAGCAACCAGAACAAGCTGTCAAAGAGTAAACTTGAAATTTCATTTGCTTAAATTTGGCAGAGATCGTCTCACTGTTGTTCTCAAGATAAAGATCCAAGTCTTCATTGGCCTCTGGGGTCCTATAACATGTGGCCCTTCCCTACCTCTCTACGCTTCATGCTACATCCTCCTTACACATTAAATTCTAGCCACACTAGCTAGAAGACCCAGCTTTTTTCTCTCCTGAAATCTTTTATCACTGCTGTTCCGTTTGCGTCTCCCCTCGCCAGTCATTCAGATCTCAGCTTAAGTCACATTTTCAGGTATGGCTTTACTGAACCCCCCAGTTAGGTCAGATCCCTAAGTCATGTACTCCTATAGCACCTTCAATGCTTCCTTAAAATAATTTTTTTTTCACTCTTTTCAGAGCAGTTTTAGGTTCAGAGTAAAACTGAGAGCAAGGTACAATTCATCTCCTTTTAAGAATGACCATACCTGTGACTGAATAATCATTTGTTAGATAGTTCTTTGCTGCATCCCAGCTATAAACATCTAAGCTTCTTTACCATGTTTGGGGAATTCCCTATCTTATGAGTTTGATGGGTAGATAGAGCTCAGAGCCCAACTCCCATTTTTGAAGTTTCAAATGCCAGAGACTGGTTCTCCTAGCTTTGCTTGAAGTCAGGGCATGGGCATATGGCCAAGATTTAGCCTAGGACACCCACCTAGGGTTTTGAATTAGAAATCAGTGACACAGGGGAGCAGGGACTCCACTCTGGGGGTGGGAACTGCACTTGGGTTTCAGGAGCTTCCAGATACAGTGACAATAGAGGGAGGGTCCAGAACGGGTGATGCATGATGCAACGTCCATGTTTACCAAGCGCAGAGGTGAGTCAACAGCGGCCTCCTGGGCTGTTTCCATCCGCGATACTGGATATTTTATAGCTTCCCTTCTATGCCTGCCTGTTTTGTCAGTTCTGTGGTCCTACCTTCCTGTCATTCTGTGAGCTGTTCAACAGCCTTTCAACACATTCTTTTTCTGCTTAAATCAGCTACTTCTGTTGCTTGCAACTAAGAACCCGACCAATGATAGCAGAGACCATGTCTGTCTGGTCCAACGATGTCAAAAGGCTCTGTAGGTAATTTGTTTGCCTGTTTCTCTTACAGATGGGGAGGTCCTGAAAACAGCTGGCTTTACTCAGTCATCTTTGAATCTCCAGGAAAGTGCTGGAAGAATATGAACTAAATGAATAAATGTACTGTACTAAGAGCTATGATTCTTACCAAGGCAAGTGAAGGTTCATCCAGCCATTAGACTTAAGTGAGCACAGCCCTTACTATGAATGAGACACGGCTGCAGCGAAATTTCAGGACCCCTCGGGTCGAGAGCAAAAGGTTGGTAGACGGAGTTTTACAAAACTAGGGGACAAGTCGTGGAGCAAAGGTAGAACAGAAAGCAACTGATTCCTGGGCTTGGGTCAGAGAAGACTTCTCAGAGGAACCAACTGAGTGGATTCTGTGATGATGTCCCTAAGTCAGTGGCCAAGGGAGAGGCATCAGAAGCTGGGCAGAATGAGCAGCTGGTGGGAAGGTCAGGAGGGCGGGCTCAGGGAAGCCTGGGAGACAGGAACCAGAGTAGCACAGCTCAGCCGGGGTCAAGCAGAGGGCTGAGAGACGGCGAGAGCGACCCGCGGGGGAAGGGGCTGGGGGAGGGTCGTGCAGGGAACCCTGATGTACTTTGAGCAGAGAGAGCTGCATTCCCAGACCAATGCTGACGACGAGCGGCCCTGAGAAAGTGAGTTCTCAAAATCCTTCCCCCTTTGTCTGCAGAGAGGGCACAGGACATCTCGGGGGCCAGGCGGAGAGCACTGACCTGCAAGCGGGCCACGCTGTAGAACACGGCGGAGGGGTTTCGGAGGTGGATCCGCTCCGTCAGCAGGTTGCTGCCATAGGCGAAGTAGAGAAAACTCTCCTCATCCTGACTCCGAAGGGCCTGGCAGCCCAAGTTCGCCATGTCCCACTAGACCCCTGCACAGGCCTGGGATCGGTAGTACAAGCGTAAAGAGAGGACGAGAAATACAGCTCCGCGGCGGAAGAACTTAACCCAGGAACCACCAGGCCCCCCGATTTAGAGGTTAGGGGAAAGGCGGGAAGCTGGGGCCGGGCGAGTCACCTGCGAGTTCTCTTCTGACTGGCTGCCAGTACCCAACGCTGTGAGTTACTCGCTCTGATTGGTCAACCCACCGCCTCCTCTAGGCTAGCAGCTTGGACTTTGTAATATTAGGTTCTGAGGCGACCGGGGGCTGATTCCTCATTGGACTGGCTCCTCTTTTGTCCCGCCCCCTGTTCAAGGCTCCCTCTGATTGGCGGATGGGCGGGGCTCTGTGCAGGGGTGGGTCAGGTCCTCTGCTGAGCTGTAGCTGCTCTCAGGTCCAAGTAGGATTTTCTCCAGTGTGGGTTTTACCTGCGTGGTTCCCTGACAGTGTGTACCCTTTAGGGAGCTTTAGGATCCATTTAAAGTGAAACAGCGGCTCGGACCATGCACCCGACGGTCCCTCGGGCGGCAGCTCGTCGGGTCCCGCCCTTTGGGTTTGGAGGAATGTGGGGGCGCTCTGTTCACACCACTCGCTGGTTCCCGCACCCTAGCCCTGATCAGGGGGCTTAGTGGATCAGACCTCGCACAAGAGCACACCCCGGGAGATAGTGAAGGACAGGGAACCCTGGTGTGCTACAGTCCATGGGGTCGCAAAGAATCGGACGCGCGAGTTTGAACAACAGCCCTGATTATCTACCTGATTACCTTTTCTAAGGACCCTTGGCCTCCTAGGAAAGCTCCTCTGAGAGTCAGTGTCTCCTTTCCCTGATGGAAGTTGCCTGAGGGCCTCAAAGCCCAACTCTGCTCTTTACTGGACGTGTAACCTCGCACGTGTAACGTTTACTTGCTGTTTACTTGGATGTGCTGTTTACTGGACGTGTAACGATGGACATGAGTTTGAGCAGGCTCGAGGAGTTGGTGATGGACAGGGAAGCCTGGCATGCTGCAGTCCATGGGGTCGCAAGGAGTCGGACACGACTGAGTGACTGAACTGAACCTCGGACACCTCTTGTCTCTGGTGTCTCCTTTTAAAATAGAGATTGTAACATAAATTATGCTCACAAGTTATAAATCTAAGATATGATCTCCTATCTCATAGGATTGATATAAATATTAAAAGTAATTTTGTTAATATTATTAGGGTAAAAGCTTCCATGTAAAGAGGTATAATAACAATAACATAAAAACTCTATATTGTTAACTTTGAAATGAAAATTAATATGAACTCAGAGCCTTGAAGCAATGACTATCCTTGGCACCCAGATTTTGATTTTTAAATACCACTTTTCCACTAAAAGGTACCAGGGTTCTTTGGAGAAATGGCTAATACCAGGTCAAGAGGAGCACTCAGAATATCTTGTGACAGAAAATCAGGAGGTATTAAAAAATGAAGTTCTTTGAAAAGGACACAGAAGCCAACTTGAAGGAATGCCCACTGGCCAAAGTTAGAATGATTTAAGCTTCACAAATAACTGCAGTTGATCTAAAATGTCAAACATAAAATTAATTTCCCCACGAGAGTAAATAAATCTGAAAAAAAAAAAAAAAACTTAAAAAAACTGTCTGCCATACTACTGGTAGTGACTTTTACACCAACTCTTTACTCTGAATACTGGTAATTTAAGAAAATAAACATTTAGCCTGCTTTTCTAGTTGTAGACATATTTCAGAGTAACCAAATGGCCCCAGTTGCTGAGGAAACCGTTCCCTTTACAAAAGTATGCCAGCTAAATAACGTAAAATGAAGGATAGAATTAGAAATTCACCATTTTGTAGTCCCTAATGAGCGATTAATTCATACCAGGATCCTGAGACCAATAGGTAAAAGTGCAATAGGGAACAGGATATTCACATAGAGCCAGGGATTATGTGCCAGTCATCAGGGGAAATCCATAAAGACAGTGGACAAATCCGATCCCTTCCCACCTTAACCTAGGTCAATTTTATCATCACTAAAATTAGACCAACCTGACATTCTGAGTCTCCTGATGTGATACAATATGAAGCACCAGCATCATTTGTGAAGCACTGTTTCCAAAAATCTTTAACTTCAGAGTAATCAAGCAGGAACTACAAGGATAGAAGCAAATAATCAGAAAAAATCCAGAACAAGTGGTGAGACATCCTGGAGAACAAATGGCTCAGTCTCTAAAATTAACTCAGTACCTTTAAAAAAAAAAACATAAAAAGAAAAGAAAAAAGAAGAGAGGCAATACTGAGGGAGGGCTGTTTTAGATAAAAAGAAGCCTAAGAAACATAATACAATGGCTTGTCCTTGGTTCTGGTATAAAAGATATTTTGTGACAATTGGAGAATTTGAATAGAGACTAAAGCATTAGATGATACTAGACAGTTTTATTGTTTGTTTTGTTTTTTAACAGTACTGGGGGCTTCCCAGGTGGCTCAGTAGTAAAGAATCTGCCTGCCAATGCAGGAAATGCAGGAGACACAGGTTCAGTCCCTGTGTGGGAAAGATCCCCAGGAGGAGGAAATGGCAATCCACTCCAGTATTCTTGCCTGGAAAAATCCCACAGACAGAGGAGCCTTGCAGGCTATAGTCAATAGGGCCGAAGAGAGTCACCACGACGGAGCATGTACGCGTACAGAGGCATTGTGCTTATTTAGAAAAACTTCCCTGTTTAGATAATATATTGGTGTATTTAGGAGTAAAATATTTGCTATCTGTATTTTAAATAATTCATAAAAATTAAAATATGGAAACTGTTAAATGTTAAACTCTGTGTATATGGACTTATTATTTTCTATATATTTGAATATTTTCATGTTAAAAAGTAAAAACAAAAAAACATGGTGATGTAAGTAAAGCACTTGACATAGTGAGAATTCAATAATAAACTTTATTATTATAAAATCTGCAAATAGGAAGGTTCATACTCTCTCCTGCCCCCACCCCAAACATTAAGGCAGCAGAACTTCATATACATATTTGGTCATTTCGGTAAGCAAGTTGCTTTTCTTGGCAAGATAGTACTCCACTGCACCAAGAATTCCCAAGGTCTCTGCTGCAGAGTACTACCATTTAAAACATCCTTCTGCATCTTAAACTGCTTTTAAACATTTGAAATATATTTATTATTTATTTTTTAAAGTATTTTGACTTCTTTTCTCTTTCTATACTTCTAAGTGCTTAATTTTACCATGACTGATTTTTCACAACACCAGTTTGTGAAAATTTTCTGAAGTTAAACATGGATGTTTCCTCAGACACTGAAAATCTTTCCTTGCCCCAGTGAAGCATTTTATTTAGCTTCCCCACGTAGGTTGCCATGTACTGACCCCTGTTGGCCAACAAGAGGCAGTAGGGAGCAAGGGGGTTGGTTTTCTCCAATTTATTTATTTATTTTGTGGCCGTTGCCGCACAGGGGATCTTAGCTCTCCACCGGGGATGGAAACTGTGCCCCCTGCATTAGAAGCACGGAGTCTTACTCCCTGAGCTGCCAGGGAAGTCCCTCAGATTCAACCAAAATACATAACCAATAAGAAGACACTGTGTAGCGCAGAGAACTATACTCAATATTTTAGAATAACCTCTAAGAATCTGAAAAAGAATCAGTGACTGAATCACTTTGCTGCACACCTGAAACTAACCCCGCATTGTAAATCACCCAAACTTCATTAAAAACTTTAAAATAATTATTTAAAGTAAAAAATGTAATTTAAAAAAATTTTTTTAAAAGCAAAGCATACTTTAAAAACCCCAGATTTAACTAAAGCCAGGTTAATATTAGTTAACATTCACTGAGTTCTTATGGTATGCCAGTTTAAGCTTTTACATATATTAGCTCATTTAATCATGAAAAGGGCCCTATGCAGAAATTACTACTATGTCTCATTTTATAGTCAAGGAAACTGAGGTGTGGTCGGTTAAATAACTTGCCCCAGGAAGCAATGACTGAAGAGACTAAGCGATCTGATTCTGGAGTCATTACTTGGTATTGCTTCCCAAATTTCTCAAATTGTAAAGTGCTCATGGTCTAAATATAACTGGTTATTATTTAAGTATAATCTCTATCATATCCTTAAGAATATTATGAAATAGTAGTACTAGTATTCAATTACTTGATAATAAAGATAATGAGGACAGATTTCTTCCAAATGCCATCTTTTAATCCAGTGGACTTTAAGTTTTTGATTGTATCATTAAGACTTTTGAGCACATATACTGTATATAATAATATATATAAAGCTATATATATGATGGGCTTCCCTGGTGGCTCAGATGGTAAAGAATCTGCCTGCAATGTGGGAGAGCTGTGTGTGATCCCTGGGTTGGGAAGATCCCATAGAGGAGGGTATGGCAATCCACTCCAGTATTTTTGCCTGGAGAATCCCCATAGACAAAGGTGGCTGGCGGGTCACAGTCCATGGGGTCGCAAAGAGTCAGACTCGACTGAGCGACTAAGCATATATATATAATATCTACAAAATATAAAATTTTAAAGTAACTTTTAACTCTCATATCAATATAAAACATACATATGGGACAAAGTTAATTATAGATAGTGGATAAAAAATCCATATTTCAAATAGTCCTGCAAATTTCCACTTTCTAGCTAATCTTGTCAGATCTTATTAGATCATCATTATTTTTATATCATTAGGTCCAGAATGAAGAACTTGCACCAGAAGTCAGAAATGTCAGCTCTGTGCGTTTCTTTATTCTTTTCTTGTGCTTGCAGTTTTAGTAAGAGCTTCAGTCTAGTTCTAGGCAGAAATTTTCTTTGTGATAATTAATTAGCTCTCTGGAAATCCACTTAGCCGAGCAAATTACAGTAAATCACCAGACACAGAAAGTGAATGAAGGAGGGCCAGGGCCACTGTCAAGCCCTCCTCAGGAAAGCACTCCGGCCCCTCCCCCAGGGTACCTCACATCTCTTGAGACAGACGATGATTGTCTGAATGGCTGTGGGGTCTAGTGTTAAAGCAAAATTCTTGTATTCTGTAATATTTACTAAATACAGTAAAGGTAAAGCATATTTTTAAAAATCTAGCATTTTAGATTAAAAACAAAAATAGAATTGTTTTCCCACCTCACTGGCTCAAAACTTAAAAAAAAAAAATTTCCCCTATGACCACCAAATCATCTGAACTTTGAGCACAAATCCAAGGCCCTCTCAACTGTGCTAATCTCCTTCCAGACTTGTCTCCCATTTCCTACTATAAATTCATTGCTCTCTTGAAACTGAACTACTCACCACTCCCCAAACCCACTTCTGTGCTGTCCTCACGTGATTCGCACCATTACCCGCATCACCCCTCCCAGAAAATCAAGAGTCCAGGAAACCAGCCAGGAAGCTGTTGCAGTGATTCAGGTGTGTGATGATGGCAACAGGGTGAGGCTGGGGAGCATGGGAATGCAGAGGAAGACAGAAGCAAAGGCAGTAGTTACAGATCCTACTGACTGATTCTACTAAGCATATATATATAATATCTACAAAATATAAAATTTTAAAGTAACTTTTAACTCTCATATCAATATAAAACATACATATGGGACAAAGTTAATTATAGATAGTGGATAAAAAATCCATATTTCAAATAGTCCTGCAAATTTCCACTTTCTAGCTAATCTTGTCAGATCTTATTAGATCATCATTATTTTTATATCATTAGGTCCAGAATGAAGAACTTGCACCAGAAGTCAGAAATGTCAGCTCTGTGCGTTTCTTTATTCTTTTCTTGTGCTTGCAGTTTTAGTAAGAGCTTCAGTCTAGTTCTAGGCAGAAATTTTCTTTGTGATAATTAATTAGCTCTCTGGAAATCCACTTAGCCGAGCAAATTACAGTAAATCACCAGACACAGAAAGTGAATGAAGGAGGGCCAGGGCCACTGTCAAGCCCTCCTCAGGAAAGCACTCCGGCCCCTCCCCCAGGGTACCTCACATC